GTCGTGTTTATCGTTATTGATTATTAATTAATGAGGAGATAACAATCGACTGGCTGTGGGGGACTATAGTGGAATTCAAAGAGAAATTTGGGAAAATCATTTGGGAAAATCATTTTGGATAATCGAGTAAAATGTCGAAAGGACCGGGGAATTGTGGAAATTCAAGTAAATATAAATGAGATTATACAATATAACAGTATGTTTATTGTTATCGTTATTCATTAACCACAATCGTTTATCGATACAGTAAGTCCTTTTGTTTCATTAATATACAATTTTATTTTCTATACACTCTTCATTTTTTGTTTTTCTCAGACTAGATTTTTTTTTATCCATTTTTGCCTATAATTGAATTTATATACAAAAGCACTGGACATTTACTCGTTAAATTGACGGATTGATTGATTAAAAAAAATGCGATTGTTCAGTTGTTTATTTCGTGTTGTCATTTTGGGGTATAAAATGGAAAAAATTAAGGCAAAGGTGTCTGTTTTGTTAGAAAAATTGTTCATTCTATGAGTCAATTTAATGGAGGAAATCATCCATTTTTCAGCTAAACTCTATTATTTTTTTTTTCTCTTTATCCCAATCGTTAGTCACTCTTGGTCTAAATTAATGAATTCTTCTTTTTTTTTTTAAATTTTCATTGTTTAAATCGTTTAAATGCCGTTTCATTAGTCACGTCCGACGAATTAACGTCAACAATTACAAAACACCTGGGCGAAGCCTCGGGGGAAACACCTGATTTAAAATTCCCGGGTACCACCGGGGATACGCTCGAGGACAGTTTTGAAAATTTAATTACGTCCTTCAGTTATCCACGTATTTAATTTTGTATATTATCTCGTTCTACAAAATAATTGACAATTTTTCATCTTGTCAATAGTTTTTCATTTTTTTTTTTCTTCTCTTTTTTCTCCTTTTAATTTCATTCGATTTTGACAATTTTTTATCTGTTGTGCAATTGATTCGAGTATTATCTTATCAGAACACATAAAGCTCTCGGGTATTATTCATTTTCCTCAGTTTTTCTCTCAGTATTTTCCGCTCTGTCCAACGAAATGAGAAGATGAAAGAGACAAATTAATTTTACAATGGAATTATAAACTCTAATTTAATATTACTCTTGATTATTGAATTATCAGTTGTTTACTAGATATAAATGACTCCACAACAGCGGTGGAAAAAAAAAATCACCCTTTTCTATAATTTTTCTATAAATAAATTAAATCGTTCATCTTCTCGTTCCACTTTTTAAACCAACAATCATAAAAATAATAATGAAAAAAATGCACAGTGAAGCATAATTGTCGTAAAGCGTCGCATTGTTTTTCGTTCGTCAATTTAGAATAATTCATGGTTTTTAAAATATTTATATAAATATACCGGTTAAAATCAGTGGTTTTTTTTTTCTCTTGAAAATGTTTTTGATTAATTGCTCATACACCGTTGTGGGGAAGGGGTCCGTCCTTCCACGTGTTGGCTGCAAAGAAAAATTCGTCTTTTTCAATTTCGATAAACTTTGAATAATTCTGGCGAATACATGCGGTTGATGTATTGATTTATTCAATGAAAATAATTGAAATACCTTTGTAACGGGTATCGGGTTTCATAGATGGGCATTTGGCATCTGGTGGTTTGTGAAAATCAATGTTTGTACGTATAGTCCTGTGATGAAGACCCTGAAGTGGTCTTGCATTATTACCAAGTGGTGCCTTTGGTGTTTTCTCTGTACCCTGCATCAGTCTTCTGAGTGCGTACAACTGCACAATAAATTCAACTCCGTGAAATTGTATTGAATATCAACAACAGCGAGTTGAAAAAATTCATTGGTAATTCCAATCAATCCAATTCAATCATTTCTCTCAGAATCCCAATTACCATAATCATTTTTATTACAGAATACAACGATTTCTTGAGCTCTTCAATCAATAGTAATGAACACCTATAATCGCGACTAATTGTCAATTTTTTAATGGAAAAAGTCGGAGCCCTTGGGTAAATAGAATGTAAATTAAAGGGGGAAATAAGTATACAGTAAATATAGAGTTGCGGTAAATTTTTTAATCGATTTTTTTTTTTCAATTAATGAAAAAATAATGGATTAAATGGTGATGCACTACCTCTTGTGCGCTGATGTATATCGGTTTATTTAATATGAGCCATACGGCTGTCTCCCAACATCCAGGATGGGTTGTACTTCCCTCGTAGGTCATGTAGCCATCGGTATCTGGCAATAATTCCCTCAGGGATAGGTGACCGACTGAGGCCGTTTGTGCTGCAATCACATGACATTAATTATTATTTTACCCGGTAAAAGTTGTTATTTTTGTCGGGGTACATTAGGGCAAGTGACATCTACTCAAAAGCGCAAAGTCCCGCTGAAATCGTCCGTTCCATTGCGCAAAAGGTCTTTGTGCACATTCTGGTCTTTGTGCACACGCTTGTTGGTAAATATTTCCTCAGGCAATAAACTACATTTCCATGCGTTGTTTTTTTTTTCTCATATCCTTTTTGGGAATTATAATTAAATAGATTCATAATCCATTCGATTTTAGGGGAATTCAAATGAACTCTCCTTTCATAAAAAAAAATAAATCTTTCTTCCAAATTGCAGAACTGATGAGAAACGTGAAAAAGTAAAAACCCCTTTCCAGGGAGAAAAAAAAAATCAAAGTGCCATCATCTCCGCGGCCTGAAAAAGTCTTTCAAAAATAGCCAGTGAAATTGGCTGAAAATGCAGTTTTGAAAATTGTACGTACGGACAATATATACCACATGAGTACAGTAATAACTAGACAACTAGAAGTGATAGCAACGATACTCGAAGGTTCCGCCTGGGGAAAAGGTGGTAGGGATCGAGGGGCTGGGGGTTGAGGAAAATCCGAGAATACAGGGGTTGTATACTTAGGACACACGTGTGTACGTATTCCTAGGTACCACCGTAGAAGTGAGTGAATGCAATGTACCTAACTTGAGTGAAACGAGTTAGGTGGGGTTGAAATAGGGATGGAAGGGGGCGGTTAGAGGGGCTTTTGGAGGGTTTGAGACTGGAAACCTGCCTTCAACTTGTGGTATACGGTACGTAGACCATTTCGAGAGGGTTTTGGCTGGGTTGCAATGTCTACCCTTACCTTTCCGAATGTATTATGCACGTTTTGTGTGCTCTCCACCCCTCAACTTTCCTCCCCGTGAGGGGGTTGTTTGTTTTTTCACTCCATCTCACTCTTTTCTTTTTTATCATAAGTTTTTCCATTTCTTTCGTTTGTTTGTTCGGTCGGTTGTTGTTTTTTTCTTTTTTTTTTTTTTTTGGTTTCTCTTTATGCAAGATTCTCGTGCGAATGTTTACGTATAACCGGAGGTATCGGAAAAGGGTAGGGGTGGATTCTTGAGGTTGAGGGATGTGTTTGCCCCAGGAATTTATACAGAGCGGTGAAAGTTACTCGTGTATTATGTAAGATCACTCTGGGTGGTATTTGTATCCCCGGGGGTGGGGAAAAATTGAGGGAAATTCCGGGTTTAGGGGGAGTGTTGAGACATTATTTGAGATTATCTTGGGGGAATCTAGTTTTTTTTT